CACTTGCCATGCACTTAACCAACTTAGCCTAACTTAGAGTAGCCCATCTGTTGAACATCCTCTCATCTCACATATCTGTTAACAGCAGCACTTATGATAAAACATGATAAAGGTCATTTTTTGGCTGGTTTCAACTTGCATTTTTATTCGGTTCATTTGTGTGTGCTTGTTGACATCAGACAAAGTTGACAACACACAACACTTAAATCACTTTGAACACGACATATGACAAGGCACTTTGACGGCAAACCAAGGCAAGACATCCAACCAACCGTCAAACTGTATTATCAAAATCAAATGACATCTGCCCACAAACAAGACGAAAAAGCTTTACGGGAAATTATCTCTCGACGTGTTAAAGGCAAAAATGACCACAAAATAGACATTGTCATTTACTATTGTAATAAGAAAATATCGAACTTTCTTATGAGAAACAGCCCAGAAAAACCCAACAAACTAAAATGCACCAATGTAGTGTATCAATTCCAATGCAACACCGAAGGCTGCAAACTTCGTCCCATACACTACATTGGTGTGACCACAACGACACTCTCACGACGCCTGACAATGCACTTACGTGACGGGGCGCCTCTGGACCACATGCGACAGGAACACGACATGACATTGACACAACAACAACTGACAGACAGCACTGACATTTTACAGACGTGCAGTGACAGACGACGCCTTCAAATTTGGGAAAGCATATTCATTAACGAACTCTCTCCGGCCTTAAACAGACACAAATTCTTGCAGAACTCGTGAACTACTAGGTGGTGGGCGGTGAGCACTTCTGATGTAATTGTGGCAATAGTGTTCCCATTGTGTCTTTGTGGTGTTCCCATTATGAGTGTTTCTTACATGTGTAAAAATGAAAATAGGATTCCGTCTTACTTCAATTAGTTATGCTTCATTTATGTTCTCCGCACCAAAAGATGTTTTCCAACAGTAGTGCACAATTTTTCATCCTTTAAAACTCAAAACTTATTTCTTGTGCAATTTAGTCTTCTCCGACGATGAGATAGGATCTCGAAACGTTAGAATGGAAGGAGCGATGAATATATGAGTAATTTTGTGCGAACCATCTTTAATCTAAGCGATGACGCCAAGCCAAAGGCCCGAAAACTAGAACGATGCATAAAGAAACTCGTCAATGCTGAGTCAGCAGTTATTTTCAATCAAACATGTATCAAAGAAGGGATTCTGCCTATATATATGTATATATATATATATATATATATATATATATATATATATATATATATATCAAAATACACGTCTTCAATCACAAATGGATCATATCCAGTGCTTTTTGGGGGGGTTTTACTACAGGTGGCCCTTTGTCAACCCTGTGCCTCCCTCGGCAAGGCTCTGGCTGCGCCCCTGATCCCAAATGACCTGACACCACCCTAGGGTTAAGCACACAAGACATTCAGCACGCACATGTTGTCTTGTCGCATTCTGATTTCTTTCGTTTCATTTAACGTTCAATTTCCTTTCTTTCACATTCACATCTTCACGATCGCTAACCAGCAACCTCTAATTTCAACAAAGTTGCGTGACAGAAACAAAACTTGAACAATTTTAGCACCACAAGGCACTTGTTTCACACCTTTTTGAGATTCGCAAGAGTTTGGAGGCAACGTTGACCCCGTTACTAAATGGCATCACTGATATACGACGTCGAACGTCGCACGTTGAGCTTTAAACCCAACCTTTTTACCTCTGCCCATTTTGTGCTTTGTTGCGTGCTTTTTCGTACATCTTAAAATGTTTGCGGATAGAAGAAATACATTGTCGGGTGTTGTATCTGGCAAGTAAGTCACGCATCCCCATAGAACGGGAGGTGCTGCCATCCTGCCGGCGACGGAAGAAGCAAGAGAGGGCAGGCAAGCTAATGGTCGTGTCGGTATGAGTATGAACGAGTGGTCGTTTGGTTCTTTAGCGTGCGAGCGGCAGCCAGAACTGGCCTCGTGAAAAAGGAAAAATCCTGAATAATCTCTGGGTCAGACCCAAGAGGTTACGTCAGAATCAAAAGAGGCAGGGCCAGCGGTGCATATTGTAAGAGGTGTGACCTGGAATGATCCTCCCTTCGTGGCACTGGCAGTTATCCTTGATCCACATGCGACATTCCTCCCAAAGACCAGCTCCATCCATTTGTGCCTTACGCCAAGGCTGCTGACAATGTAAAGCGGACTTCTCAACTACATAAACGTTGGAAACCCATCCCCTCCGCTTTACCATACTGACCTGATCGCGAGGCGGCGTGTCCGCCGGCGCCGGGCTCCTCCGACTTGCACGTGCTGCCGCCTGGCGGCGCCGCCTGCCCGGATCGGGGGCGCCGTCTGCGCCGGCTGAGCAGACCGGAGCCGCCGGCGCCGCAGCTGGCCGACAGGGGCAGCAGCCGGGGCGGCGGGACGCCCGCGGGAGACGAGTCCCAATGCAGCTCAGCGCGGTGGCCTTTGGTCGGTGGGAGGCGCGGGGAGAGGGGCGGGGAGAGGGCGGCGGCGCCGCCGTCGCTCGGCGTCCTGGGCGGCCAGCCCCAGAGCTCGGAGCACGCCTCGGTTGGAGGGGAGAGGGTGGAGGACTCAGAGAACGGCCAGGAGGACCGACAGGTGGAGAGAGAAGAACTGGAGCCCGTGTGGGTGGGGGACGGGAGGTCGGATGCGGCGACAGTGGCCACGAGGCGGTGATCGGTTCCGATCGGATTATCTCGCAGCACAGGACGGCACTTCCTCGGCACGGACAGGGGACCAGCGTGGGCGCCTATCGGGGACAGGGGACGGCACCGCCTCGGCACGGACAGCTGACTGGCACGGGCGCCAATCGGGGGCAAGGGACGGCACTGCCTCGGCACGGACAGCGGACTGGCACGGGCGCCAATCGGGGACAAGGGACGGCACTGCCTCGGCATGGACAGCGGACTGGCACGGGCGCCAATCGGGGACAAGGACAGTGAGCAAGGCTGCCCGCTCCATGGCTCTGTCCGTCCTCTCAACGGACGCGCTGCATGGCAAAGATAAAATTAAAGTCTCTTGTTAGAGGGACTCACGGCGTACGTCGTCGTGCAACATACAATGGCGCGCAGTAGATGTGGCATCAGCGTCCCCTCCCCCCCCCCCGTCCCAGCGTCCCTGTTCACGGCCGTGTAAGTGGCGTATCACGCAAAAAGGGTTCTAGGAACAGCCAGGTACTCAGCACAAGAAAACTCTCCGAATCGTCCCGTAAAACACCATTACCACGCCGGAAAGCTGTCTTGTCAGTACTTAAACAAGGACACTGTCATATTTGTTTTCTGCAGTCATTTACGTCGATGACCCAGCACGGTTCAGCTAGTCCTGTAGCAAATGAAGAGCTTTCGGCGCTGCAGTGAACGCCTCGCTAGGCCAAGGCTTAACAAAAATCTGGCAAAAACGAGCACTACATGGAAACCGTAGCTGAAAAACAAAACGTTTTTTTTTAACCACGTACCGCATCACTAAAGCAGTCTGTAAGCTATGGGGGACCAAATACGAAGAAAGTATATTTTACACGTGTTTGACCAGTAGCGAAATTCTCTGTGCGCTACCATGGGACTGACAATTTCCTAGTGCGTCTGAAAGAACTGCTGGCCACGGGTCACGAATTTCTGGAACTGACAACGTACCAGAACAAGAACCTTTTAGTAGCTCTGAAACCAACGCACGACGCTTTGACTTAAAAATTACGAACTGGCGTATCTTCTTGTGCGAAACGCTTTCAGTCACACCAACCACACAAGAACCATGCAACTTCAACTATACTAAACGGTGTCAAATAAGACCAGCTGTTTGCATCAGCATTTGCCTGTCACTGAAAGAGGTCGCCACGCTGGCTCTGTTCTGTCAAACGTTCGTTAGGCTGGTGACAGGCTCGGGTTCATATTGAGATGGGTATTCACAATTTTGAACTGTTATCGGTCCCATAAAGCTGTATGCTGGTATCTGCTTTTGTGCTCGTGTTTAGTAGGCCAACATGAAATTTTGCAACAAATCTTCAAGTATTAGCATGTTTTGCAAGAACTGAAACGGTAAAAAACCGAAAACTTCTTCAATGATAACACTGTAAATCCCCTAAAACTCCGGAGTCGGTAAAGAAGTATGACCTATAGGGAGTTGTGCGCCTTACTTACTTTAATAATTATTAGAGGGAGTATTCCACAATCGTACTGGGGTTTGAACTTAAAAGACATCTTGAAGATAATTCAAGGCAGTTCTCAGACCTGTCTTTCTTAAGACCTTAACGCTTCTAGTTTCTGAGCTACACGTCCGTGAAGATGTGTAGAGTATTTCGGGGAGACTGTTTCAGGGTCACCCAAGCATCCATGAAACCATAATAACGTCATTCCAATCCTCCAATTTGATAGCCATCCGGTGATCAAGGCCAAAAAATATAATTGCCGAATCGTTCAAAGCCGGCGTTCGTGAGCACGATTTCCAGATAAAGCAATCGCCAATTGGCTCTCAATCAATGTCATGCGAGACAGGATGACGTAATCAAACAAAGACGTATTGAGGGCATTTTCACCAAACATAGAAATTACGAAATTACGTTTAGAGAAATTACGTAATTAGAGAAAACACGTCTTTGTTTGATTATATATATATATATATATATATATATATATATATATATATATATGCAGATTTTCAGGCAAATCAAAAACATTCTGCGGGACGGATATCGATCTGAACATAAGCCCGAATCCGTTACTAACATAACAAGCGTTCTATCATGTCAAACTCTTCATGGGCCTGTTGAGGTTAGAAAGTAGAGTAAGACTTTCCACAGCATCGATTCAAAAACACTTCTAACCCGCACATTGTCTTACGTGAGTAGCCCACCATCAACGTGTGACCGGTGGCCGACCTCACCCGTCACGCGACAGCGGGCACGATTCTCACCTGGTTTGTTCCGATGAGGCACACACTCCTGGCAGCCCGTGAGCAGCTCTGGCTCGTGCCGATCAGACGGCCGGTTGGGGCTGCGTGCACCCAAGGCAGGCCCGGATGGCACCGGGCCGTCGCCAGACCAGGGCGACCCACCAGGCCATCCGCGCCCGGCGATCGGACCAGGTCCGCGCGTCCCTGCGGCGAGCCCGGCTGGAGCGGAGTCGCCTCCACGCCAGGAGAGCCCACTAGCCGGGCCGGGCAGGTCAGCCCGTGGCCACCCTGTCGGCTGGTCCGCCGCGAACAGCCGGTCGATCTCCCGGCAGATCCAGTCCATGGTCGCGCCACGTGCGGTGCCCTTGCCTTCACCAGAAACGGTGGCGAAGTGTGCGCCCGGCGCCTCCGCTGCCAGAGCTGTCACCCGAAACGAGTGCGCGCTCGTCGCGGCCGTCCCCGGGCCGTCCGCGCCTCGGCCCCGGATCGAGTTCCGCACCGTCCCGACAGAGTGCCGGGGCAGGCGGATTCAAATTGGAGACGCATACCGGACGAAGCAGCGAGCTATATTTCATGCTTGATTGACGAGACGTACTGCCGTCATGAAGTGCTATGGCGATACTTTCCTGGCGGTTAGTGACGCAAGACCTGTAAGGTCATGAGCACTGCTGTTGCTTTTTCGTTTCATGCGGATACGTGCGCCACAAAACTATTTTCAAGGCGGTGAGGGCAAATGCAAATTTTTCGGAACTCATGCGGGTTGTGACCAATTCCCGCGATATCGCCCAGTATCTTGCATATTGCCAGATATCTTAACTAGATCGCCCAGTACCGGTGGCGCAGGCAGAAGGCAGGACTCAGACAGGGGAGCATAGGGGCCAAAGTCCCCTTCATTAGGTTCCGAGTGGCCCGAAGCGTCACTCGGGACCGTCGATTAAGGCCCGAAAGGCCGGTCGGAGGTCATATTCAGAGACCCCGACCCACAGGGCCGGGCATTCCAATGCCAACCAGAGGGCCTTTTGCGCTGATCGGGGGCCCCTGAGTCGATAACGGCCGACATGTCGGTTCGACACCATCAGGACCGCACAGTCGACTCCATATCGGCATGGGCCCGAGAGCCCATTTCCCAGGCGAGGAAAAAGCCGGGGCCAGCGTTTTTCACTGATCGGGGACCCCAGCCTCTCAGAAGCCTCTCAGGGGCTCACAGTGCATAACAGGGGTCTCTGTGTTGGATTCCGTATCGGCCAGAGCAGTGTTTGAGGAGGCCCGAAGAGAGCCTGGAGGGCCACCGGGACCAACAATCAAGGTCCCGATTGAAGGCCCTGAGTGCACGATGGGCAGGTCGGAGTCTTCTTCAGAGACTCCGGCCGCAAACCGGAGTCCGGGTCACATCATCAGATCCGGGGACGGATCATGAGATGACAGCCAGGGAGGAATCTCCGACCTTTGCGCCGGTCGGGGACTCCTGAGTCGATAAGGGCCTACGCGTCGGTCAGGCACCACCAGGTGCCGCACAGTCGGCTCCGTATCGGCATGAGCCCGAGGTCGTCCTGAGGAGATTGGGAAGTCGGCCACTTCCTAACCAGTGACAATGCCAGGGCCAGCGATTTATGCTGGTCTGGGCCCCTGGGGTGTCAGAGGCCCACAGTGCCTAACAGGGATTTCTGTGTTGACAAGGGACACGTGTCGACCAAGAGTAATGTTCAATGAGGCCCAAAGTGGCCGGGGTGGGGGGGGGGGGGGAATGTCACCGAAACTGGCGATAAAGAGCCTGGTTGAGTGGTACAAACAAGGATCTGAATGGCGAGCTGTAGGTCATATCAAAGATCCCGGCCCGTAGGTCCGTGCCCTAACCTGACATGATATCGGTCAGAGACCCTCTTGCATCGATTGATGACCCCTGAGACAAAACGTTCGCCCACACATCTCGGTCAGAGACCATCAACACCGAACGGTGAGGCTAAGGCTTCGTGTCGGTCGGATCGCGGGCAGCCCATTCCCCAAGCAGGGGCACGGCTAGCGCCCACGATCTGCATTGGTCTGAGTTCCTGGAACATTGATCGGAGGCCCTGTGTCGGTCAGGGGCCAATGTTGCCTAACAGGGAGTCATGTGCCGGCAAGTGGCCACAAGTCGGTCGCGGACTTTGTATGGGGAGGTCCGAAGAGGGGCCGAAGGCCCCTTCGAACCCAAGATCAAAGCCCGATTAGAAGGCTGAAGTGACTGAAGGGCCTGATTGGAAGGCTGAAGTGACTGAAGGGCCTGATTGGATGGCTGTAGGGACCGAACGGTCCTTATTGTCACCGACCGTGGGTCACAACAAGGACCGTTCCCACTCGTAGAGCCATGACCTCAGATGTCAGTCGGAAAGCCTCCTGTACCGATTGGGAACCCATGGGGCAGTGCAGGACTCTTTTCAGTCAGACGCCCTTAACATCGAACAGTCGGCTCCATTTAGGTCTGAGTCCTGGGGGCTCATTTTCCAAGCACGAGGAAGGCGAGGACCGCGATTTGCATCCGTGGGGGCTCCTGAAATGATTAGAGAATCGACCAGGGATTCATAGTGCCCACCAGGGCCCTGGGTCTGTAATTGGCCGCGAGTAGCAAGGAACCGTGTTTGAGGGGGCCCGAATAGGAGCCTAAAGGGTCTATAGAGATCAAACATCAAGTATCCTGTTTGGGAGGCTGCAGTGCCCAAAGGGCTCGCTAGTGATCGTACTAAGGGGCCCTATGTCGGTCAGGGCCTACCAGTACCGAACATTCGGCTCAGGGTCAGTCTGGGCCTGAGGGCCCATTTCCCAAGCAGGGAGAAGGTCAGGCCCGCGACTTGCATTGGACCGAGGCCCCTGCAACAATGTGAGGCCCCTGTGTCGGTCAGGAACCTACGTGCCTAGCAGAGTGTCCTGTGTCAACAAAGGGCCTCGAGTCGGCCAGGGAAACATTTGCTGACGGGGCGGAGACAGGACCCCGAATGCCAGAGGGCGTTGGTCCGAACCCTCTGACAATGGTGGGAAACCTGAGAACTTATGGACGAGAGATCACTTTGAGGCAATGGAAGGGCCCATATTGGTCAGGGCCCCCAGTACTGGACGGTGGGCCATCCAGCCCAATTCCAGCCATGGAGCCGTTAAAAGGAATGCTCCACATTTGAAAATATCGAAGCACGCATGAGGCATGATGAAGTTAGCTTATTTACAACTATCAGTATACTTTTAAGTCGAAAAAATCTTATCCAGGAACGCAATCTCCCTGTTTCGTAAGTAGATTACTTTTATATAATTTGAAGCGGAAAAGAGTAATTCAGCCCATACAATCTCTCTGTGTAGTAAATGTTCTACTTAAAACGTCAGTGTTGGATCATGTAATCGTACCTTGCAGCACATTGGTTCGGAACCGATTGGCGGCTGTTATATGTCGAAACTGTGTTCACGAACGCTAGATATGAACGATTCCACAATTTTATTTGCCTTGGCCTTGATCGCCGCACGCGCAATGGAATGACAAGATTTCAATGACGGTATTTTGACGCCGTGGACGCCTGAATGTACTTAGATATAGTCTCCCCGAACGTTTGCACATCTTCGCGGACGTGTAACTCAGAAACTAGAGCTGTGTAGGCTTTAAGAAAGGCAAGACTGAAAACTACGCGGAATGATCCGCAAGATGTCCATTACAGTTCAAAACCCCATACAAATGTGGAACACTCCCTTTGCAGGGAGCATCCACCTTTTTGTACTTTTCACTTATTATTACGTCATACGCGTACAATTTAAATAGCAACAACAGTTTTTCCGACGTTCTTCTGAATAGCTCAGAATTTTTATTCAAAGTAGCCGACCCTGCGGGAGAAATCCATTTGACTTCATGCTCACGATTATGAAAGTAATACATTGTATTTACCTTGATTCTTTCAACACATGTGTTCAGTAATATTTGCAACACACTATTATGTCAAAAGGTTTGGGCAACAAATGCTACAGAAGCTTTAACGGAGTAATGCACAAGGACGCGAGCACCGGTGGCAGTCAGTGCAACTCGCTTTCCCCCAACCCCAACTTGAAAGCTCGGGGGCGGCGACCCCCCAACTTGGAGATCCTGTGGAGGGCCCATACAGCCATGTTAAAGGGAGTGTCCCACATTCGTACAGGGTTTTGAAATGAAACAGACATCTTAAAGGGAGTGTTCCACGATTATATGGGGGTTTGAACTGAAATAGAAATCTTGAAGACCTTTCGGTGCTGTTCACCGTCACTTTCTTCCCAAAACCTTCTCAAGACCCCGCTAGTTTCTGAGACAAACACCCGCATAAAATGGGAAAGGGAGTTTTCAAAGCGCTTTTTCAAGTTTTCAATTGGAGAGTATTTCAAAGTCCTGTTGGCTTCACGACGTCATAATGACGTCATTGAGATCTTGTCATTTCAAAGCCATGCGGTGATCAAGGCCAAACAAAAATATAATTGTTGAGGCGTCTATACATACATATATATATATATATATATATATATATATATATATATATATATATATATATATATATATATGGCGTTCGTGAGCGCGATGTCCAGATATAACGGCCGTCAACTGGCTCTCAATCAGTGTTGTGCCAGGTACGATGACGTAATCAAACCGTGACGTATTGAAGAGCATATTTTCTAAACAGATAATTGTGCTGTCTGGAGCAGTCTTGCCATTTAAAAAGTATGCTGACAATTAAGTGAGATTGTTTCATCGTATCTGATGTTTGCCTCAATATCTTCAAATGTGAAACCTTCCCTTTAAAGATCATTCGGTGGAGTTCGCAGCCCGGCTGCACTAGAGCCTATGTGACAATTATTAAACCACCTGCTTTTGAAACACAATAACAGTTGTCACATGCTGATGTTGAAATGCTGTAAGTGTATACATGTGCTAAGTTCAATCCTGCTGGCAGATTATGAACCCCAGAGAATTCTTCCATGAGGAGACCTGAAGACCTACAAGTATTTTCTGTCACCCAGGCTCATGTCTGGATGAGCACACAGTTGTAGAAGTTTCAAACTGTCTCACTTAGAGGGCTTGGCTGCTAGGAGGGTATGTCCAACTTGAGTGCTACTCGTTTCAGATTCAGCCGAGGGGCCGCGATGGGCAGGGAGAGCGAGAAGGCGCGGCAGCTGAAGATGGCGCAGCACGACGAGAAAGAGCGGCTGGTCACCTCCGGTATCTTGATCAAGCTGGCCAACGGCGTGCCCGACCTGATGGTCGAGCTGGTCGCTTTCCGACGGTACGAGCGGCACGGTGTGAGCGTCGTCTTCTAGCACCGCAACGTCGGTGGCCTGAGCGAGGCCGAGCTGGACGCCATATTTGCCATCCGTAGCGACAGCACGCGCGCCCTCTACGCCCATGCTTATGAGGCTGGAGCGACGGGGAGAAGCGCGGTGAGATGACCGAGAGCATGGCCAAGTACTTGGTCGCGCGCGGACGGCGACGCCAAGATCTTGGCCTTCTGTCACTTCGCTTCGATCTCGACTATGACGACGAGGCGGTTTACTGCTAGGAGATGCACCTGACGAAGTCGTACCAGCGCAGCGGGCCCGGCAAGCATATGATGTCGATCCTGAAGCTGATGGAATTGAAGAAAGAGGTGCTGCATGTGTAGCCTATGATCATAAAGCACAATTACGAGCTTGATACCACGCAGCCAAGCAGCTTCTACACGTCCTGCGGCTACGTGTGTGGCAAAATATGCCCCGATGACAGTATATATTAGACATTCTGCCACAAAGTTATCAGGAAAAATAATCCGCGGAGGGACGATATCAATGTTGAAAACGTCCCACAGATGAGTATCACTAAAAGTCGGCAGCAGAGCTGCGCCTGAGCGGTCAGCGCTGCGCTGCTGAGCTCCTCGAAAGTTGTCTTTTGCCAAATGCTCTCATTTTCAGACATGATATATTCTCTCCCTTTTGCACTTTTGGGTCTGGCTGTCAAGGTGTTACGCGCGACACATTTCTTTTAACTTAAAAGTTCGTTTGCTTCGTTTGTTTCTGTCTGCCTCCTCATACGTCCCTGCTTTCATTCAGCTCTTAGGCTGCATCTTACATATGGTCACCATTATGTTACGCAAGGTTTCTTTATCTTTTCTAAGATTCTTACTTTCTCCTTTGCTTTCGGTTGTTTTCTTGTTCAATTCTTGGGCGGCATCCTCCATACTAGCCATCAATATATTACACGGGATTTCGCTATGTTAAGACTTGATTTGTTCCGTTTGTTCTGCTTCCTTTCTGCTTTCTCGTTAACACGCGCCCACCTGGGGATCTGAGACAACCGTGCCCGGCTGGGGAGGGGGGGGGGGGGGGGAGAAGTTGACTCTCCTTGGGATCTCCAACTTCCAGACGGCGTACGAGAACAAACAAATGCTGATGTAAATGTTAGTCAAATCATGAAGAATGCACACCAAACTGTTGACCTTATGTCAAATGTGAGGTCACCAGACGTCATGAAAAAAACATAGCTTTCATAGATGGAATTAAAACATATATTGACATGTCAAGATGGATATTGAGTGCACATAAGTAAGCGTTAAGACAGTGGGGAGTCCATTTCGACCACTTTGATCCCCAAAAGAATTAGGTCACTACCGCTTAAAATTGGGCTATTGGAAGCCTACACGAACGATGGTTTTTGTTTTCTTTCACAATATGCTTTTCAGTTCGTTTATTTTATTACGTGCAGGTGCGGGACAAAGTATCCTGGACACAAAAAGTAGCATTTTAGGCTGACTTAGAGGCCAAATGAAGTCAAATCAGGTCAAATTCGTAACGCATTCAAATAAAAAAGCTATTGCTTACCGGGCCTAAGCGATCAGTACAATGCTGTTTTTTTGGTCAGATAAACATCTGTGGGCGGTTCAAAATAGTATATTGCACATCTCCAGGTGCTCAATATCGCATAGCACTTGTGTACATTATACAAAGTCCTTTGGTGCTTGGTAATGTCTTTATAACAAAATGAGAACACACGCATTGCTACATGAACTTAAAAGTCACCAGTTTCACACACACGACATAGAGGCGGTTGCACGCGGTGCACTCGTTCATCTAGCCTTTCCGCTTCCAGGAACACACGTCATCCATCTTGGATGACCTCATATGGCTGCATATCCTCAAGTGACCAATTGTGACCTCGTGATGCATGAGAATGGCATCATAACATGTTTTCAGTGGAATGGTCGTGTTATTCACCGTAGTTGCCTAACCAAACCGCCTATTTTAAGCCCTGTATGTGTTTTGCAGACGGGCGGATCCAGCCTGGAGTTTGGGGGGGGGGGGGGGGAGGGCCAACCGTTCGTCGCCAGCTGGCTGGTGTGGGATCCGAGGTCCAGTGCACTTATCAAACACGTTGTTTGCGCCGAGTGTGACTAAGCCACGTCAACATGCGTTTTGTTTTGATATTCAAGGTGACTGGCAACTTTTTCATGAAGTTTTTTTCCGAAACGGAAAGAAATGTTTGATACCGCACCATCAAAGTTAAAACAGACGGTAACTACACGTGAACTTTTATGAAGTACTGGGAATGTTTTGGTGGGGCCAAAACATACTCTCAGAGTTTCTTTTGGGCGATCACGGCCCCGTGCCCCCCCCCCCCCTCCCAGGATCCGCCTATGTTTGCAGAAGGCACCCAAAGAGGTAGGTCATGACCTGGGTCAATTTCGTGTTCTCTGTGGTCATGTGATGTTTGCTCATGTGAGGTGATACTCTTTTTCTTATGTAGAACCACAAAAACTACACAAAAAGGTTGAATCAAGGAGGTTGACCTCCTTGAATCGACCTTGGTCACTGACCTTATAAGATTAATGGTGCAACTTTGCACAAAATATGACAAGTTGATAAATGACCAGGCATTAAAACGTGGTTTTGCTGCAAGCGTTTGTTTTTTAGCTGTTCTTGAAAGCCGCACAGGGAGGTCAACTTTCCCAGCCGGGTGCGGGTTGCCTCCCTGCTTCAACTCTAGGAGACATTCGTCATGCCAGCCAACAATAAATGACGAGGGTATTTTCTATATCGCTGTTCCTTCAACTTGATTTTTGTCCTCAGTGCAACTCGGAGCAAACGCTCCTTCCTCCTTTCCACGCCATATAATCATAATTACCCGATGGGTTCCTCACCTGCACAAAACGGCAATCGCAATATTTCCGGAGCTCAACCCGCATAAAAGCAACAAGAGCCATGACTAACTTAATAATTTGGATGGAGTCCCTGCATGCGTTTTAAGTTACATAATCACGTATAACGTCGTGTCATACATATTTCCAGTACGTTTACCAATACTAATCAGCTAGGTAATAGGGCCACTTCGTCGAAATGACGCGTTTATTATTTTAAATTTAGTTGGTTAGGCTAGCTGTGCATGTAGCTGTGCATGACGGGCGGCATTTGATCCTCTTTTTGCCTCTCGTGTTGATACTGTCATTGGGGACTTAACGACGCGCTCAGCTGCTCATACTATATGACGTCACCTGCCTGTTATCCTGGCGCGACGGACGGCCACCGCCGGCCCACACTAGTCTAGAGATAGTGACTGCACTCTAATAATTAACATAATAAAAAATGCTCCTGGTGAGTAATACGTCTGCTAGCAATAAGCGTACTTGTTTGGATCAATTGTACATATTGATGTTAGGGGCGGCTGTTGGTTAGTGTTCCCGCTGCATCGATTCGCAGGTAATTATCATCGAGGCAATTCCCTGTCATAAACTGACTATTTAGGGGGAACTGCAACTGACAGCGAAGATTTTGGCTCACCGGCTGTATGTGGGCTTTTACAAAATAAATGGTTTCGTCCTAGCGTGAGTAGTAAACTTCACTTTACTGGGATTTCGCAACTAACATTCATTCGTTCACACCGTCTCATGCCTGCTTCTTTACCGGTCACATTAAAGGGAAGTCTATAGGATGGTCACTATGCACAGTCTGCGGGGCATGCGCGACGACCAGACCCCATAGTTATAAGTGGAACAGTACAGCCATGCATCACTCACGCCTCGGAATCCGTCGCCATTAAAAAGCAGCCATCCGGTGAAAGGCTCACTGCGGCATCACCACGTGGCCGCCACTATCACCGCTAAATTATGTTGGTATCACTCGTCGGCCGGCCGGACGTTCTCATCGGCTCACAACACTCCACCGCTGACCGCCAGCAGTCTTGCCTGTGTGGAGCGGCGGTGAAGTCATTGAGTAAAGCTTTTGCGGCGCATTCGGACCGCATCGTGACAGAAAAAAACAGGGTCCCTGCACTTTACCGTCCACGTCGATTTTATGGTCCAGTAATTGGTCTTAACTTAAAATGCGGCTTAAAGAACGCCGTGGTGTTGTTTCACGAAGGTAACAGCACATCAACCATCATTCTGTATGTCATAAGGGGTCATTGGTCTTGCGTCATTGTGCTGGTACTTCATGTAGTTCAAGCAATGTATTGTTTTATTGTTTTTGAACTCCTTTCGACCCACTACGTTCAACAATGAGACCTCTATTTCCTCCCGGGCGAGGGACCCCTTAAGCAGAACGCTCGGGGCACATTGCTGTTCCCGGTCAAGTGCTGAAGGGTCATTCCGCCCCACTGCAGGGTGTCTTCCGGTCAACATTCTGGCGACACGGGGCGGGATCCCCTGATCGATTCGTAGACCCTTAGAGGGATACATCATATCACATTGTTCCCCTCCCTGGCGCGGAAGGCTCTCTGACCCGCGCAGTTGGCCACGGACGCGCCGAGCTTCGCCATCCCCGCGACGACCGTCGCCACTGATGTCCACAGTTCCCATGCTGCGTGCGCCTCTGCCGGAGACGTCTGCGACAGCCGCTGCGAGTATCTTGCCGATGACCTGTATCCTAACTCTGGGCTGTCTGGAGCCGATGAACGAACATCGCTGCCCCGGCAGATGGGTGACCGTACCGATCGCATCGAGCGGAGAGGGGGCGAGTGCCTCGGCTGTTCGCCGATCTGGGGGATCGAGGAAGCAAACTAGGTCTCAGGAAGCGGAGTATACCGTTAACGGGAGTGTAATTTCCTTTATCGTTTTCGTAGCAGGCAGTGTAGCGCACGTGCACTTTCCACCACGCCGTGGTGTGCTCCGTACGCGTACACCCCCACGCGGGCCGGTGATGCTGTGGCCGCGGACGTGTAGCCGGTGGTTTGCAACCGGTCGCGGCCGGTGACCCAGCCGCGTCCCGCAGTGCTTGCTGAGGTTCAATACAGCGAGGTCATGTTGCTCTGGCCTTAACAGCATGCATTTCAACATTGCCACGATTTATCTGGGTGTGCTGTGGCGAACCAGCAATGCAGACAGTAGATTCGAGCTTTTCGCATGCGCAAGGTTCTCTTCAGATAACCTCTCGTCGTGAATGCATCTGAGTAAAGAGCTATCAACTGTTGTAATTTGTCCCACGCTATCCCCGCGCGTTTTGTTACATGCTATGCCAGCCAGCCACGTGCTCTGTGGAGTTGGCGACAGAGATTGACATTGAGTGTGACAGAAACTCAGCAACGTGTATATAATCTTTTTAAGCTACGAAATATACACGCAATCCAAAAACATGGTCAACTGCGGCGACATCGTATGGCGCGTCATATGGATGAAAAATGTCACTAACGTGAAATATCACTCTCCAGAGGCATTTGAGCTTTTGGTAGCTTTCACGAAACACGTCAAACCAGCCCCACAGCAAAGCGGATCCTGCACAGCCGGTCGCCTCAGCCCAGCATAAGCCTCTTCCTGCCGCGCAGTCGCACCTCGTCCAGCTTCCTGAGCACGGCGTCGGCGCCCGGCCAGGCGGCGCGGTACGCCTCGTAGACCCTGCCGGTAATCGGCGCCGAGTCCGGATGCGTGCTGAGCACGGCCCGCTCCAGCACGTACAAGTCGACGGCGAGCTCCTCCGCGCCACCGCCCGCGCCGCTCAGACCGAAGTCGATCAGCGTCACTGTGCGCAGGTCAGGGTCCACCAGCAGGTTGGAGGTGGTCAGGTCGCCGTGCACCAGACCGGCGGCGTGCAACGCGGCCAGCAGGTGGCCGACGCGGCCGGCCAGCGCGAGCAGCGGCGCGCAGCCGGCGCCCTCGGACGCCGACAGCCGGCAGATCACCTCGCGCACCGTGGTCGCCTCCGGCAGGTCCTGCATGACGATGCGCCGCCGCGCCAGGTCCACGTGGTACACGGTCGGCGCGTGCACGCCTGCCGAGGAGGTGAGGTGTGAGGCCGATCGGGCAGCGGGTGCCACGGGGGACAGCCAATGGCACACAGCCCAAGTGGACCTGGGGAACGCTACCCTGAGAGTGGTTGATTATGTCACTATTGTGTCCCGGGAATGAGTCCTTGGAACTGCACAGCGCTGGAGTGGAGTCTGAATCACTATTACATCTTTGCAAGACCCTGACCAAGACCCTGACCCTGACATAGTGAGTAAGATTAATGCTTCCAAGCTTAAGTTTAAGTAGTATTCATTGCCACATGTCTGGAGATCAATGATGCCTTCCCGAACAAAGCATTCAGAGAGGGTGTTAGGTGATCAGCATAGATAACATTGACTTTGCTACAGTACAATACAGCACTGCTTACTCCGGAGCTCCTCACATCATCCCTCACCAAGTTTTCTGCATCGGGCCAGCGCCCTGGCCTCAGCCTTGATGCGGTCCACTGTGATGGCGTCGTCCAGCTCCGGATGCCGGTATGTCTTGCGGAACCGCTCCTTGACAATAGCAGGCCGGCCACAGAATGCTTGTGCGGTATATCTTCGCCTCTGCTCCCTGCTTCAGCAACTCTGATTCCTTCATTATGCTTCCCTCGGTCAGGTGGATCCTCGCAAACTTGCTCACAATTAGGCAGGCTTAGAGTCTGGAACTGATGGGATTGCTACAATTAAAAGTCTGCTATGCAAATAGAGCATCTTCAAATTCCTTCATGGCTGAACTTTCAAACAAATCACTCAATATCAAAAGTGTGAAACACAATAACCTTTCTGCACTCAAGCCAAATCAAGGTAAACTACATGCAGGTTTCTCAAAATGTATCTTGTGCATTGTGCATCACTGGACATGACAAAGCCAAATCCACCACATATTTGGATTCTACCAGACCCTGCAATGGACTCTACTTCAACTTTACCAGATCAGCCTGGTCACTCTACCACACCATTTCAATCAAAATGCCTCACTTCATATGACCAGCTGCTTGCCCACTAGATGTCTATGGTGGTGGACATAACTAAAATGATAAGAAATCAGTGACGACATTAGACATCTTGACAAATGTAGAGTATGCAAAGCATAGAGTGACAGTTCTAAGAAGAAGCAGAGGAACTGGTGAAAGCCATTGGTCTCCCTCAGGATTCATACAATTCAACATAAATCGCCATAAATCATAACATAATTCAACATAAATCGCAACATAAGTCGCCTCTGTGGTCTTGGGGAAAGATGCTGGACTCGTAATCCAGCGGCACTGGGTACGAGTCCCAGAGTGGGCGCATTGTTTGACCCAACTGAAACGGAAAGGCCAGCTGGCAACTGGCCAACGAGGCTCAACCCAGACCCGAGGCGGCCGTGTCGCAGCATTGTGCGGCACGTAAAACCCTCCGCATGCCTGTCCGGCGAAAGGGCGGAGGCAAAATTAGCTGTTGAACTGGACGGCACACTTGGGTGGTGGGTTCGGGGTACACGCAACAAGCTATGCTTGGCAGGTACTCTGAACCTGAAATCACCCATACAAACAATTTGGGACAAATTTATTTTTTTTTAAAAATCTATAGTAATGTATGAAGGAAATGGATTTCCAAGGATGTGTCATTTGCTACTTTCATAATGTTCTGATATGTGCAGACCTGCTAAAGTGCAATGTTTGAATAATCCAAGGAGCCTCTGCCTGAATACCCTAAATTCATGCAGAAGAAACATCCAACCCAACCACCTGACTGCTGCAAAGACAAGACGGTCAAGTGCATTCAGAGTTTATAATAGTGCTACCTATTATAATGCACATAATGTAACCATAATAGCAGGTGTGCAACTAAGGGATGAAGGTTAGGGGGTGGGGTGGCCTACCTCCCTTATACCCATATTTTCTCCATGTTTCAACATCGTCTCCTGATAGCAGAACAGAAACTAAAATGATGAATTTTCACTTAGACCTGGGCCTGCCTTTGGAAAAAATCCTGGCTGCACTCATTCCAACTGCATAAACTATATTCCATGCCTTCAGAAAGTGGACAGTTTATATCCAACCATTTGAAAGAATATTGGCATCAACACTTCTTGGGAAAAGGTCATGCCACATCAACTCTGTGGCATCAGAGCATGACTATACTGCATGAAAATTGCAGCTTAACAAATTTTGTTACCCATGGTTGTTTAACCCTTCATGATGAGCAACATCTCTCACCCATACCATGGCAGGAAGCTTGGTCTTTTTCAAGTCAACAGCCTGCTCCTCCATTCAACAGCCAGCACCATGCCATATTAACAGTCTTAAACAATCAAGTGCAGCATGGTTGTAACAGTGTTCCAGTGCTCTGGCAACAAGGATGACTACATGACATGGTTCAGCATGGAGGTCAGGTGGACACATTTTTGTTCACTTCCTTCCATGCACTATCAGAAGTAAAATGCAATGTTGATTTCTCATGCATTCAACCACTGATATTTCCCACCAAAATTACATTCAGTATGGATGCATGTGAAAAAATATGAACTTTTGAATTGCATAATGCAAATCTTGATACAGAATATTAAAATCATTGCAATGCAATGCTTTTCTACTATAGAACCTTCACTAAGCCCCAGCAACTCTGACCCAAACCTCACCAAATGCTATGGCCCCATAAAACAGCCCACATATGCCGAGGCTGCATTTCTTCAATCCCTACCAAGGTATGTTGGTAGACACAGAGGTGTGGTTTTGTGTAAACCAACTTGGATCCAGGGTAATCCGCACCAACAGAGAAGCTTTTCAGCAGAAGCAAGTTATGGTTGTATCAAAGCTAGTGCTACCACTTTTGAGCCCACAAGCCTACAAGGCTATGACTTAAAAAGCCTGCAGGGCTTCTACCATGCACTGTTGATCACAATGCCAGCATCGGCAGGTTTAATCCATCTAAAATTATGCTAGTTGCGTGCGTGCGTGCTAAGCCCAGCACTCTGATTTTCCAAACTGAGGCCTGGCTAAATGAAGCTAAATCTTCAATCATTTTTGCACGAAGAAAGTATAAAAAATTATTCCCTGCAGCAGCCTGCACCTTGCACATTGACAAGTGTTCTTTACCTTTCGGCCGACAATGTTCTGAGGAGGGGACGCGTCGGCCGGCTTAGATCTGTAGTGACGACCGGCTAATCAGCTGACCAAACACCGCTGCCAGACCGGGTAAATCATCCCAATGATAAGTTTTGTGCTCCTCTTGACATCACTGATACGCATGTAAAGACTGTACTTCTTTTACTTCTCACATCACAAGGATTCACAAGCTGCTTATGATGACAACATTGAAAACCAAGCATGTATTTGTAATGACACGGGTCTTGCATCCTACTGTTGACGTCGCTGGGACGAATGAATCAGTCATCAGTTGAAAACTTTCAGTGGGACACGTTTTTCGGCTGTGTTTTCCCGCTGCTCACCACGTTCGGAGAGACTGTTACGGTGTACGTGCATCTACCTACGTGCTCGTGGTTTAGGTTATCATGGTGGTGCCATTTGAAAAAATGAAGCAAAACAAAAAGCAGCGTTATACCTGCTGCTCATGGTGTCACGTGACACGAGTTATGGTTTTCATTTCGTATCACTAGGGAACCTGATAATGGCGGGAAAACACCTTTCCCAGCAGCCTTCCTTAAGAAACTACTGCAAGAAGGTCCAAGTGATCCATGAACAAACTGCATTCAGATATGTCCACGCTGAGTTGCCAATAGGGCCGGAGAGTGGCATGAACTGGCTGTATGTTTTCGGCTACCAGCATTATGTGTCTTTAACAAACATTCCAAAGCAGTATCCATCGGCGCAACCACTGCTGGACACCATTTTGACACGATTTGGATGGCGATGGTTTCTCCTGGACTTGATACATGGGTTCCGTGAGCGTTATGACACCCTCACCATTAGACACTTTCTGAGAATGTATGTAGGGTATTAGCGCTACGGCAATGGATGGGAAGAATCGATTACAATATGACTCTGAGCACCCTTACTTTCTGAGACGTTCGTCCGTCTATGATTCGGGTGCCAACGCCAGACCTTGTATTACATTTGCATCCCAGCTCTTCAATTTACCTTCCGGCTGTCCGCTATGAACTCTCCAATCTCAATGCGTGACGCTGCTTTGCTGCGTTTAAAAACAATTTCAATGCGTTTAAAATCATTCCTGAACAAAGAGCCTTTTAGGTGAGACTACTTCGAGTTAATATGGCTGTTGGTGGGCATAATAGTAGATTTCACCTTGCGGCCGCCAGCCTTATCCACGCATTTCAAATGCGCCGATATAGTTTCAATCTTCGTAACTGCCAACAACACCCTTTTAAGAATATGTAGATAATCTCCCTCATATGGTGGAGAAAATGACAATCATTTCCGAACAAGATTTCATTCGAGTAAGCCAATCCCAAATTACCAACAGAGTCGTTCATATACGTAAGCGGACTCCTCACGTTTCGGCCGCCAGCATCATCTGATCAGATCTACACACCACCACGGCCTACAAAGCCCATACAGCGCACATTGAGGCCGACGCAGGACCTAGTCCTTGCAAGGGTGAACAAACGTTATTTTGCAGCTATAGGCAGTATACCTCCCATGAAGCGTGCTTATCTGACAAATGAAGGACAATGGTTGCACATGGCGAAGCAGAGGAATATCCTATGGAAATGTGCGTATGGCTCCTATGCCGAGGAAGGCCTGAGTGCAACGGCATCTCCACTTTCTGAGAATGTAGAACATCAAACTTATGGAATTTGATGGGAAGAATCACCAACAATATGACTAGGGCGACCGCCCACCCTCTCTGAAACGTTCCTCTGTGTATGTTACGGGTGCCAGCGGCAGACCTTTCATCGCTTTTGCTGCCAAACTCCTCAACTTACCTTACGGCCGTCTGCTTTGAAATCTCTAATTGAACTGCATGAGATGGCTTTGCTGCATTTGGAAACTACTGCAAGGTGCTCCAAATGATTTCTGAACATAATGCCGCTAACGTGGCCTGGCCTCTGGGTTCCATTTTAAAAATAGGGGCATGGCTGGCACCTGCGATTTACACTGACTGGGGCCCCTTAAGTCAACTAGCGGCCTACTGCATCGGCCAGGGACTCACCGTGACGTACAGTGAAACACCGTTTCATGGTATATGCATAAAGCCGCATACACACCTTGTTGCAGGCCCGCGTGCGGTTAGGTGCTGCACCGGCCCAAATAAACGCTGTCGTTTCGTGTCCTATAAGCCGTGGCGCCCCCCGGCAATAATCGGCCGAGGGCCAAAATGTTGTTATTGCCCTGACCACGATGCCCGAGTTTCACATCAGCGCATGTCTCATGGTATCTGCACATAGCCGCATTCACAGCTTGTTCCAGTCTCGCATATAGTTACATACAGCGTCGGCTTCAACGCATGTTGCGATGTACCCAGTAGGTCGTGGTGCTCCCCGAGCACGACCTGCTAATGATGGAATGTTTTAATTACCCTTTTGAACAAAAATGGTTTCCGGTTATGATCGCACCGATAAAAACTAAACTGCAGTGTTTGATATGGATAGACCATGCTTGCCCCGAAACGTAAATAGCTGCGTTTCAAGCCTATGACCGGCCCTATTGGTAACTCTCGTTTTATTATGCTTGCTGGGATGTGTACCGCTTTTCCGCCTGCCATATATGATCGTTGGACTTGATTTTTCAGGTAAGCATACCTGTCATGGTATATACATTTAGCGGCATGCACATTGTGCCTCACGCTCGAATGCGCGTGGGTGTTGCGTATGTCTTATCGCACGCTCTGGCTATGTGCCCTGGAGGCCGCGGTACTGACCGTGAAAAGCTAAGCGGGGCTATAATATTTCAGATGCCGTTTAAATAGCTTTAGAAGGATGTCCACTAGCCGTTGCACCGATGGAAACTATATTGACACGTTTGAAATGGACAAAGAATACTGGCGGCCGAAACGTAGAGTTCGCTTTACGCCTATCATCGGCCCTATTAGTAACTCCGAGTGGGCATACCCGAACGACATTTTGTTCAGGAAGGATGGGTCCACTGTCTCCATGATGATAGCGAAATTGCATGCGTAGTTTTAAAATTGTGTTCCAAGTGATATCACCGATTTAAACTACTGGCACGTTTGAAATGGACAGACAATGGTAGCGGCGGAAACGTAAAGAGTCCACTTATATCTATCAATGGCCACTATTAGTAACATCGATTGGACTGATTTTAATGCAAGTTTGTTCATGAATCATTTGAACCACCAGTACTTTCTAAATGTGGCAAAGTTAGTTCATGGGGTCAAATTGAACATGTCATGGCAGGCGGTCGCCATGGAAATGAGCATTGTTTCGAGGTGGTGATTTGACGACCGGCGCTATCAGCCGGAAGTGGACTTCCTTATTCATTTTCCTGCACTGACGTGGCGTTTTCTCTGTTTTGTAATGTGTGACCAATGCGTTTATGGTATATACACATAACCGCATACAAACCGTGTATCAGGCTCGCAGGCAGTTAAGTATTGCGTTAGCCTTAACGTGCGCTGTGGCTTTGTGCCCAAGGGGTCATGGTGGGCCCCGGGGAATAGTCTCTGGAGGCTGCAATGCTTTCAGGGTCCTGACCATGATATCCGGCGTAATACCCAGGCTGTTTGGTATTACTTCGGACAACTGGGCACATGGCGCGCTGCTCCTATTTGCCCAGTTAGCATCGCTGGTCCCCGGGAATAGCCCGCCAACAATAACATATTAATTGTCATTTAGGCACTTTTGGAATAGTGTCGGCTAGTGATTTCACTGATGGAAAGTAAACTGACACACTTGAAATCGGCAGATAAATCGTAGAGTCCGCCGAATCGTAGAGTCCGCTCATACCTATCACGGGCCCTATTGTCAACTCTGCTTCTCTTGTGTGCTCGTTGGGATGTGTGCTTCGTTTCAACGTGTCACATGTGGCCGTGGGACTTAATTTTTCAGGTAAACATACCTTTCATGGTAAATACATTTAGCCGCATACACACCGTGTTTCACGCTCGAAGGCTCGTGTGGGTATTGCGTAAGCCTTAATGCACGCTCTGGTTACGTGCTGAGAGGCGGTGATACTGTCCGTGAAAAGCTAACCGGTGCTATAATATTTCAGGTGTCATCTAAACTACTTTAGACTTATCTCCACGAGTCGTTTCACCGATGGAAAATATGCTGACACGTTTGAAATAGTGTTGAAATAGTGGGTAGATAGTACTGGCGGCCGAAACGTAGAGTCCGCTCATGGCTTTCGCCAGCCCTATTGGTAACTCGGAGCGGACTTAGCTCAATGACGTTGTGTCCAGGATCCATTTGGAGCACCTTCCAGTGGTTTATAAATGCAGAAAAGCTATACCATGCAGTGAAATTCGAGATTTTACAGGAGGCGGCCGGAAGGTAAATGGAAGTACTTGGCTGGAAAGGTGATATGTGGACTGGCACTGCCTGCCGAAACCCAGGCAGAGGTACGGGTCAGAAAGAGTTGTCGCCCATGTCCATTTTGTATTTGATTTTTTCACTGGTTGCCATAGGGTAAATCTCAACAATCTTGGAAGGTGGGTGGGGCGGGGGGGGGGGGGGGAGGGGCGGGTTGCCATAAAATGTAGGGATCCCATGTTTCTACGCTTGCAGCCCAAAAGGCACAACGTGATTGATTTCCCCGTCCCAAATGTGATGGCTTCTCCCTCATGTCATGCGTGACTATTACACTAGATTTTTGAAACAAACACGCGTCTCATAACATTCATATATAGCTGCGTGCGAGCCTTGTGCCATGCTCACAATAGGGTAGATATTGCGTCGGCCTGAACGTACGCTGTGGGTTTGTGCCTAATAACCAGCGTTTGTCCGCGGTAGTGATCTGCTGAGCGATGCATATTGCATTTGTTCTCTAAGCATTTTTAAAATAATTTCAACATCACTCAACATCATTCAAAATAACGTAAGCTGTTCAGTGCATTAGCGAGAAACATTACTCATATAGAGAAGACAGAATTCGCCTTATTCCCCGGAGAAAAACCAGGACAATGGAAATATAGTTTGGTTGATATTTCGGCAACAAGCTTTATCGAAACAATAGCAGAAACAGCCTTCAAATAGCAACAGCAATAGCGATTC